CCAGAAATTTATAAGATTTAGAGATGTCGTGTTATATTTATTAATTCATGAGTCATTCTAAACTGAACACTCAAATCTTTCTTAAGCTGAGGAAATTTTTTCGTTGTTCTTTTATTCTCTATTTTTAACTTCTATTATTGCTTTATCATATTACCTATTTCTTTTTTCTCTGTGTTTTGAAAGAATTCCATAACTGAGTCTTAAATATTGCCAACTTCTACTGTGTGCGTTTCTGCTATTTAGCTGTATTTTGAGGCTTTAAATTAAGTAAATCTCAGCATTTCTGAAAACTTTTCATTGCAGCTTATTCTAATTATATGGATGCAGTGTCCTCTCAAACTTCTGACAATAAAAATTGGAGTTTTCATTTAATACTTTCTCTTATTTCTTGTTTTAACTCTGTTTCTTGAGAAGTTAGTTTTGGGGTTTTTTTGTTTGTTTTTTGCTTATTCATTTCGGTGTTTCTCTTTACACTTTTTGTGTCTTGTGATTTGGTTGTAGATTCATATTATAAATTAGCTACTAGATTTATTTTTATCAGTAGTTACTATCAGGGTTCTTGGTGACTATAATAATTACTTACCTACCAGGCTTCTTCCTTTCATGAAACAGTACACTACAGGATTCTGTTGTAACTGGAAGATTACAGGGAAAGTGGAGGAACCCTATTCTCTTAAGTGCATGTGTAGGGAAGGAGCTACAGTGGAGGCAGAGTAATTTGATGACTCCACTACTATCCCTGGGGTCTTCTCCCAACAACCCTTTTTAAAATCCATGGGTCTTTGTATCCTTGAACTTCGCACACCGTCTTATTTCTCTCTCCACCCCTATAATTCAGGTTAGAATACCCCTGCATCCTATAAAGCCTTTCGTAAAATATAAAATACACAGTCTTTTCAATGGAGCAATTAAAAAGGCAGCCTTCTGCCACTTGTATAAATCTAGTATAGGCTCCATGAGCATAAGAATTGTATCTGTACTATTCATGCTATACAGTGGTCCCCCTTATCTGTGGGCGATATATTCTAAGGCCCCCAGTAGATAACATTGATAATACCACAGCTGATTGCCATAGTCAGAACACATTTCTGTTTATGTCTTCTACCCACAAATTTAATGTCTGTTCCATCTTAACTAAGCACTTATCATGGACTCTGGCCATAACTTTTGCAGTTTGAGGAGTAACAGCAAAACTAACATGAATTTCTTTTTCCTTCATCACAACTTCAGAGATAGAAAATTACCATAAGTCTTAGCAACCTTAGCATATGATTTTTTTTTTTTATTAAGTCAAGAACTTTCATCTTTTCACTTAAAGAAAGCACTTTACAGCTCTTCTTTGGCATCTTCAAATTGCCAGCATCACTGCTCTTGCACTTTGGGGCCATTATTAAGTCAAATAAGTATGACTTGAACACAAACACTGAAATATCAACACAGTTGAAATAATAACCTAGATAGCTACTGAATGACTAACAGCTGGAGAGCATCTGTAGGGTGGATGATTTACATCCTGGGCAAGATGGCACGATATTTCATCATGCTATTGAGGGTGCTCAATTTAAAGCTTACGAATTATTTATTTCTGGAATTTTCCATTTAATATTTTCAGTCTGTGGCTAACCACAGGTAACTGAAATTGTGGAAAGAAAATCCACGAATAAGGGGGGACTACTGTATTGACTGCCCATTGCCCACAGTAGGTGTAATGTAAGTGTTTTGTAAATTGAGACAACTTTTCTGGAACTAAAAATATTTATACATTTTATTCAGTAATTTTTCTTCTGGAAATTTATCCTCAGGAAATATTCAGATATGCTCACAAAGTTTTATGTACAAGGATGTTCATGTTATTTATAATTGTGAAAAATGAAAACAACTCAAAAGTCTAACAGTGGTTATCTACAGTATTATATATGCTGTGCATGGGTTGAATATTTAATAGAAAGTCTTTCTATTCATTTATCCCTCCAGCAGTCCAATCTCATGGATCAGTAAAACCTATTTTATGTTAACCAAAGAATGACTTTTTGACATGTCTTAAATAGGATGACTGTAAATTATGGCTTTTAAATTGCTGTAATTTTTAGTAGTATTATCTAATATTTTTTCTTATACTCCTAAGTAGTTTAGAGAGAATCAAATTTTTAAAATCTATTATAAGAACAAATAAATGAAGCTTATTCTTACATAACTTAGCATAATGTACATTCAGTAAATAGATAATATTTTTGTTTTATTCCAGAAAACAGCTCCTTGAACATGGTGAGGTAAAGCTTTCCTTTTAATCTCTGGTAGACTTGTGTATTAAATTCTAGTTCAAGAATAATTCACAAAGGTATAACCTTGCTGCTGACATACCTTCAGTAGTGCTGGAGTTGTTCAGCACTGGTAATAAATTTCTGCTGATGCTTCTCACTCCTTAATACGCTCTTAATTTTGAATAGTAACAAGGATTTGAAAGACAGAAGGCTGATTTATGACCATGGAACATAATTGAATTAAATTACCTTCATTCATTCAGTCATTCATTCAACAATAACAAGCATTTGGTTCTAGCCTGCTGAGCTAAGCAGCTATGGTCCATCAGGGCAAGCACCCGCGGCCCTGCAACTGGTGGCCGTCTGCCACCACATAGACCTGATGGTCCGCCAGCTACAAGCTCAGCAGTGTTGAAGGATTCAAAAGATAGTGTAGTAATGTTACTACCCTTAAATATGTGTAATTTTGCAAAGGAGACATTAAACAAAACATTTTACATGATGCCGGCATACAAAGGGAAAGATCAGTGTGGGCTAGAAATATGGTTTCCTCAGTGATCAACCTTTAAGTGGATCTTGAGGGAAAGGTCAAATTTATAAGACAGGGCTATTGAATTTGAACTTAATAGGAATAGTGATGCATGCAGAGTGTTCCTTATTCAAAATGCTTGGGATCAAAAATGTTTAGGGTTTTGGATTTTTTTCAAATTTTGGAATATTTAGATTATACTTAGTGGTTGAGCATCCCTAATCTGAAAATCCAAAATCCTCCAATAAGCATTTCCATTGAGCGTGTTCTTTGAACATCATGTTGTATTTTTTAGTAGTAGTATCTAATATTTTAAACTTAGATATTTAGTTTATTTAAACTTTTTGATACTCAAAAAGTTTCAAATTTTGGATTTCAGATTTTTGGATTAGGGATGTCAATCTGCAACTGATATTTTTTGAATAGTTACTATGTGCCATGTACTGTGCTGTTTAATTTTGTTAATATTATTCCCATTTTGTAAATAAAGTATGTTATTTAGGTATTACTACCTGTTACAGAGATAAACACCAACATTTCAATAACTTAACTCAGTAGAAGTTTAATTCTTTGCTTTCATAAAGTTAAAACCAAGGGTTCCTGATTAGCAGGTGGCTCTATGACAAGCAACAATTGAGGGACTCAGACTCCTTCTATCTGTGGCTCTGCTATCTTCAGCATGTGGCTTCCACAGTTGACATGTTTGCTGTATCAAGCCAGCAAAGGAGAAAGAACATGAAGATCATGCACTGGAGCTTTTGTAGGGAGTAGGCCTGGAACAGGTGCACATAACTTCCAGCCCACAGCCAGAACTCAGGCCCACAGCCTCACCTAACTACCAGGGAAGCTGGAAACATAGTCTAGCTGTCTGTCTGGGAAAAAGAACAAAGAATAGAGACTCAGAAAAATTAAGTAGCTTACCTAAAATATCACACCTAATTTGTAGTAGGGCTTGGACTTGAATCCAAGGAGTTCAATTTTCCAAAGCTCTCAACAGTTATTATTCACTGTGTGCAAGGCATTGTTTGTAAATGGTTTACATATATTGATAATTTTATCGTTACAATAACCCTTTGAGATAAGTACTATAATTATTTATGTTCTAAAGATGAAGAAACTCTGGTATAGAAAAGTTAAGTAGTTTGCCTAAGGTTACAAAGCTAAAATGAGCTTAGCTTTGAGCCAAGGAATATGAGCCCAGGCAGTTAAGCTAAAGAATTTAGGCTTTTAAGCTGGGTGTGGTGGCTCACGCCTGTAATCCTAGCACTCTGGGAGGCCGAGGCGGGCGGATTGTTTGAGCTCAGGAGTTCGAGCAAGAGCGAGACCCCGTCTCTACTAAAAATACAAAGAAATTAATCGGACAACTAAAAATATATAGAAAAAATTAGCCGGGCATGGTGGCACAT